CCGCGGTTGTTCAGGGGTAAGGGAGAGCTCGGAGCGGACTGGAAAATCATCTAAAAATCACCGAAATACCGGAATAGCGAAGAAATACCCCGCTTCGAGAGTCCCCCAAAACACGTAAATAAGGAAACAACCTCCCCCCCCCAACTACCAAAAAAAAATTCCCACTTAAACAGCCAAAAATCCCCACTTCAGTAGCTCAAACCCACTGAAATAGCCCCAGTGAAATAGCCCTATAAAACCGCTTAAACAGCCCCCAAAACCGCCTCAATGGTCCCCAAAAACCACCTCAATAGCCCCCCAAGACCAACCTAAATAGCCTCCAAACCCATCTAAATAGCCCCAAAAAACTCACCTGAACATCCCCACAAAATCACTTAAATAACTCCTAAAAACCACCTAAATAGCCCCCCCAAACCCACTTAAAACAACCACAAAATGCCCACTAAAATAACCCAAGGAACACTTCAATAACAAAGAGTGGCTCCCTGCTCTGCAGCTTTATTTAGGGATGTGGACACGGAGGGATACGGCCTCTCCTGAGGGAACAACTGGATGCCAAACTGGATTTTTACAATTAAAACCCACAGAGCTCAGAGCCCTGATCCTGAAGGAAATGATGAGAGCCTCCTCCCCTTGAACCTCCCCACCTTAACACAAAATAATGCAGGAAAATGTAGGAACAAATGGGAAGGAACTGTTGTTGTCACAATAAATAAAGAACAGGGAGAGACTTGAGGTTCAAATTCTTCCCCAGTGCTCTGCAGCTCTGTCAGTGGCTCCATGAGGTTGTTCCCACCCAATTCCCAGCATTTTTCCTTAGGAAATCACCCAAGGTCTCTTCCTCGCAGCAGGAGTTCGCACATCTCCGCAGCCAAGCCTCCTCGCTGCCAGGACAACACATCCTGAGTATTCTCTTCACCAACACCAGGGAGATCTGGGGACTTTAAAGGAGGACTGGGATCTTTTTTCAGTCAGAACAGACTAAAAAAGAAATTCTGTTTTTCATCTCTTGCGTTTCTCCTCACGGGAGACGCGTGGGCAGTGCGGGTTTTGTTCCAGCAGCAGCTTTTCCTCACAAATACCTTCCAGCCAAATGGAACAGAGGAAGTTTGGGTGCCTTGGGAGGGCTGAGATCCCGGAGTGGGATCTCCCTCAGCGCCAGGCCCGGTTCAGCAGCTTCACCTGGGCCAGCCTCTTGGTGATCATGGTGGCAAAGACCAGCCCGAAGAGAACGCTGCTGATCAGAACGTAGTCGTAGTCGTCCTTGAGCACATCAAACTGCTTGGAGGGGTACACCCGGGTCTGGAAGATGTCCAGCCCGTAGGCTACAACCTGCAGGGCACAGATGAGGAGCTGGGGATGCAGCTTGGAGCATGAAACCCCAAAATGATCCGCTCAGGGTTCAGGTTCTGGTGGAAAGGAGCGATGTTGAAGCGGCGTTGTGGGAGTTACGGAGCTCCGCGGGCTGTGGATTGGGATCCAGCCCCAAATTCCACACTGAGGATTGGGATCCACCCCCAAATTCCCCACTGAGGATTGGGATCCACCCCCAAATTCCACACTGAGGATTGGGATCCAGCCCCAAATTCCCCACTGAGGATTGGGATCCAGCCCCAAATTCCCCACTGAGGATTGGGATCCAGCCCCAAATTCCCCACTGAGGATTGGGATCCACCCCCAAATTCCCCAGTGTGGATTGGGATCCAGCCCCAAATTCCCCACTGAGGATTGGGATCCAGCCCCAAATTCCCCACTGAGGATTGGGATCCAGCCCCAAATTCCACAGTGTGGACTGGGATCCAGCCCCAAATTCCACACTGAGGATTGGGATCCAGCCCCAAATTCCCCACTGAGGCCTCCCCCCTGCACTCACCAGGCACGTGGACTCCAGGCCAGAGGGGGCTGTGTAAATCCCCCTCATCCTGGAGATGGTCTGGTTGTAGTTGATGAACCTCTCGGCGTGGATCTGCACATCTGGTGAGTAGGGGATCAGGTTCTCCTCTCTGCAAGACACCACCAGAGACCTCAAACCCCACAGCAGCACACAGGGCACACCACCAGCGACTCCTGGTTATCAAAAGTTAAGCTAAAACAGCAAACTGGGAGCTTTTCCCGGTGCAGACTCCTTCTTGCTGCAGGATGAAAATGAAATGGATCAGCTGGGTCAGGCTAAGCTGCAGCTGTCTCCTTCAGGGCTTCCAAAGTTTTACAAGCAACTCCAAAAAAATTCCAGCTCCTCTGACTGCCCCTCCCTGAGAACCCGGACCCCAGGCTGGTTTAATGACACTGACAAATGTATCCCACCATCACAGACCGGGAACAGGAGCACAGAATCCTTCAGGTTGGGAAAAGACCTCCAAAATCAACGAGTCCAACCTTGGAGCTGAAGGAACTTGCCTTCATTTCTGTGCCAAGATTCCTCTGAGTCCAGCCAGGACGAGTTGTTCCTCCTCACACCATTTGTGACACACAAAATCCAGCGCTCTCCAGAGCCCAGGAAGAGAGGTTCTCACTCCTTGCCTACCTGCTCTGCTCCGTCGGGATCTCCGGGCGCCGAGGGTCCAGCAGGGCCTTGGGAAGGGACAGGATGGCCCCGGAGGGAAGCCCAACTGTGCAGTGAAGGAAAAACACCTTCAAAATCCCAAAATCCCACAACAGCAGGGGTTGGAAGGGCCTTCTGGGGCTCAGCCAGTCCAAACCCCTGCCCAGACAGGGTCACCAGGAGCAGGTGACTCAGGAATGCATCCAGGTGGGTTTGGAATGGCACCAGAGAGGGAGATTCCAGACCTTCCCCGGGCACCTGCGCCACTCCTTCAGGAAAAGTTCTTCCCCATCTTGGGGTGAAACTTTCCTGGCTTTCAGTTTATGGCCATTGCTGCTCTGGGCACCACGGGAACGAGCCTGGCACCTCGTGGCCATTTCTGACAGCCAACAGAAACACTCTGTGCTTACCCCTGCACTTGCAGGAGCCCAGGACAACCCCCAGGCACGGTTTTTGTCAGCAAAGTGCATTTTTCTTGGATTTCAGCCTTTCACAGAGCAGCTACTCACTGAGCAGGTGGCGGCTGGTGATGCCACGCTCGGTGATGGTGGCCTCCATGGCGCTGATGGCAGAGGGGAAGATGTAGGACTGCTGCAGCACCTGGGGCAGGATGGGGCGGTCCAGGGAGCTGAAGGCTGTGGCGTTGTACTGCTCCGTGCCCTCGTACAGCTCCAGCACCGTCAGCTCGTTCCGCCGGGCCTTGGTGTTCCAGTACTGGTACTGCAAGCACAGGGGTTTGGGGATGAGGAATAGGGAAATCACAGAGCGTGGGCACAAAACTGCCCCCATGCACGTTCAGGAGCTGCCCCCATCCCAAAAAGATTTTTTGCTTTTTATATATTTATATTTAAAAAAAGTAGTTTTTATATATTATATTTTATTTTTATATTTTATATTTTTATATATATATATTTATTTAGATTTTATATATTATATAAATTGTATTATATAATTATTTATTCTATATATATTTATACATTGTATATATTATATTTTATTTATATTATATATAATATATATTTTGCATTTATTTTTTATATATTTATATATTAAATATATTTATATATTTTATCTATGTATATATTTATATATAAAATTACTTTATATATTTATACATATTTATATATAAAAATATATTTTATGTTTATATATTTATATATAAAATATATTTTATATATTTTTATCTATTTGTATATTTACATATAAAATTATTTTATTATAATACATTATATTTATTTATTATTTATTATATATATTATAATATTATATATTATATTACACATATATTATATATTTATATTTTATATAAGTTCATTTTTATATATTTATTTTATGTATTACTTATATATTTATATAAATTTATATTTAGATATTTATTTTATGTATTATATATTTATATAAATTTATATATTTATATAAATTTATATATTTATTTTATGTATTATTATATATATTTATATAAATTTATATATTTATTTTATGTATTACTATATATTTATATAAATTTATATATTTTATGTATTACATATATTTATTATCTAAATATTTATATGTATTTATATATTTATATAAAACATATATTTATTATATATTAAATTTATATATATTATATATATTTTATATATTTATAATATATTATTTATATTATATATAAAATTATTATATATTTATATACAAATATTCTATATTAATTATTATATTAATTATTATATTAATATATATTTTTATATATTTATATATTTATATATGTATAAAATACATTTTATATATCTCTATATATGTTTCTATATATATTTCTATATTATTTATATATCTCTATATATGTTTCTATATATATTTCTATATTATTTATATATCTCCATATATGTTTCTATATATGTTTCTATATATATTTCTATATTATTTATATATCTCTATATATGTTTCTATATATATTTACATATTATTTATATATCTCTATATATGTTTCTATATATATTTCTATATTATTTATATATCTCTATATATGTTTCTATATATATTTACATATTATTTATATATCTCCATATATGTTTCTATATATATTTCTATATTATTTATATATCTCTATATATGTTTCTGTATATATTTCTATATTATTTATATATTTGTAGCTCTGTAGATTAGAATTATCTATTTATACAGCTTCTTTTTACAGCAGCAGCTCTCACCACCACCCAGTTCTCGGAGTGCACCATGTGCACGGGCCCCTTGGCCTTCCTCTGCACGGAGGAGTGGATGATCCTGCCCGTCACGCCGTCCAGGAGGAAGATCCCGATGAAGGTGCGCTCGTGGTGCGTGTCCGTGCTCTCCGTCACCACCGCCAGCAGGTTGGGGTTCAGCGACTGGGGACAAAGGAGAAACAGCTCAGACCCCCTCTCAGAGCCACAGACATCTTCCTGCTCTTCACCTGGGAATAAATCATAAATCACCCCAAGAAATCAAGCTGTTCTTTCCCCACTATTTGCAGGAAAACATTTTTTGAAAAGATGATGACGGCTCTGGAAAGACGATTGAGTGTGCCTACCTTCCTGAAGCTGGACTCTTTGGCTCCTAGAACCCCTCTATTTTCCCAGATTACCAGAGAATGTTTAATAATATTTCTTTCCCTAACAACTGTGTCTCCTGCAGCTCAAGCAAACAACAGTTTCTTTCCTCATTTTATTTTCTTTTCCAGCATTAACAGTCTTTTAAATTGAAAAACGTTATTCTGCCCTTATTTTTCAAGCTCATCAGTGGCAATGTTGCATTTTGATACAGTCCAGCTTAGAGCCTGGTTTGGGTTTAAAAAGAGTGAAGGGTTTAGGAGCCGTGCCTGGGGAAGGGAGCTTTTTTCCTTAAGAGACACTGGTGCCAGTTAAGCAAAACTGGCACCACAGGCTCATCCCAATGCAGCAGCAGGGAATGGAACTGGGATCTTCCCATGGGATAAACCCCCTCCTCTCAAAGGAAAATCCAGCTGAGAGCTGCTGCAGCACCTTGTAGAGGACGCTGCGGTCGCCCATCACGCGGCCCTGGGAGTGCACGTGCTCGTTGGACCTCTTCCCTTTGACAGTCACAATCCTCTGCACCTCCGTGGGGATGGCCACCTCCCAGCTCTCCTCCGTGCTCAGGTCCTGCAGGGGGAAAAAGCAAGTGGGAGCTGGCTTATCATCCTTCAAGGACACCATCTCCAAAGATTTCCTTGCTTTGGGATTTCCCAGCTTTCCTCGGTGCGTTCTGAGGATGGATGCTCCGGTTCTGAGCGAAGGGAATTAAGATCTGCCGCTGTCCACAGGGCATTCAGGGAAGTGTCGTGGGTTTTCCATACCTTTTTCAGCCTGAATCCAGAGAGTTTTCCCTGCTCAGCATCAACCAGATAAAAATAGATGGAATGAGCTATTTCTTCTAACTGCCGAAGGACATTTTTAGTGGCTGGGAAAGGTGTAACCTGGAAAAGAAGAGTTGAAACACAGCTGAAAAACAACTGATACAAAAAAACCCACCCCAGAATGAACCAGAAATACGATTTCCAACCTGTTTATCAAGGTAAGGTCTGCCTTACCAGGATAACCTCATAGCTTTGTGTGAAATGTGGCTCAATGGCATTTTTTTCCCATCTTGCCCCAAAAGGGAGGGGAATAATTAACCAGGATGTGAAGAAAACTGCCTCCAGGCAAAGCAATTTACCTTGTACTCATCATCAATCAGGAGCAGCACTTTGGCATAGTCTTGATCCATAATAGGCAGAAGCAAAGTCTGGAGAATCGGACGTTTCAGAACGGGAGGAGCTACCTGGCTTCTCTTCCCAAAGATGGGGTTAAAGACGTACAGAAAACTCATTTTGGTTTCCTGAAAAACAGGGGAAGTTTTGCTTCTTAAGTAAAAAAAAAAAAGAAAAAAAGGTGTTTTTCTAACTGTTACTTGCTGGTGTTGACTATTCATACCCTGGTTTCATCCTGGAGATATTCTGTATGGACTCACGCATTTGTCTGTAACAACCACATTCATTTTTAAGTGTTTTTTTAATTTTTAGGCTTCTGTGTCTGCTTCCCTCCAGATCTTTCTCCCCTGCCATCCCATCAGTGCCAACCAGATGATGCCCAAGAGGATGGTTTTATTGCTCTGTCTTTATTTCCATGCCCAGTGGAAGGGCAGGGAAGGGGTCTCACCTTGTCCTTGACGAGCAGAGTGCACTGTGGAGGGTGGGGGAAATGGGCTGTTGTTCTCTGCACCATCAGCTTGAAGGAGGAGCCTGGCCTGACATTCCTGAGGTATTGCTTCCACAGGATGGTGCCTGAACTGCTCTCAATGCCAAAAAGCTGAGGGAAAACGTGGGAAAGCCAAAGTTTAGGAAAACTCTGCACTGCATCCTCCTCTGCCATACCCCAAAGAAAGCTGAGTCTTTAAAGCCACCACAAATCATCCCGTGCATCTTCCCATTATTTCTGCCCAAGCCTGGCTAAAAACAGGGCTGGGAATTCAGAGCTGAGACTTTGCTCCAGCCCAGGAACAGATTCCTGCCCTGGCCTCCTCACCTTGCCCGAGGCAGTGACCATCACCATCATTTTCTGGAGGTTGAACTCGTCTCTGGCCAAGTTGTCAATGTTAATCTCGTTTTTAATCTGGCTCCGGGGCTTCCTGGCATCGTAGAACATCTTCCAGAGATGGGCAGTCCAGGCTTGCAGCAGGATGAGCTGGGATGAGAGTCGCTTCAGGAACATTCCCAGCAATCCATCTGCAAAGTGGCACCCACGGTGACAACGGGAGGGGAACGGCACCCGTCCCGCCCCACAGCTGAAACTGTGCTGTCAAACGCTGCCATGCACAAACCTGGGGGAACTCCTCGCCTCCCCCCCTGCAGGAAGTCACAGTTGACATTTCTGTGACAAACTCTGGCATTTATCAACTTTTCCTAGTCCATACTCACTCCAAAATATGCCCTGGTCAACTGAAAGCAAACCTGCATGCAGAGGATTTTGTGTTCCTCCCCCTGTGCCCACCAGACCTCCCACCTCTACAGAAATCCCCTCTGCACTCAGGGGAATTAAAAATGCTTAATTCTGCCCAATCAGGATTTGTGTTTAATGTCTTAAAGTAACCAAAATAGTGGGTTTCAACTGAGGGGAGCAAGCAGAGGGGAGCAGTGGCAGGAGCAGAGCACACTCCATGCAGGATGGGGTTACCTTGGATGGCTGCATCCAGGACAGCAAGGAAAGACAAAAAAAAGCAAAAAAAAAATAAAATAAAAAGCTATTGGAAATGAGTTTTCCAGAAAAAAATCACAGGAAACATTTAGGAGACATGGCCAAAATCCCTCCTACTGCTGCTGACTGTTTTTTTAATGTAACAGTGTAATATATTCGTGTCATCTGGATTGGATTTCTAAAGTTTAGACAGAAAAGGGTTTATTTCTGCTCATTTTAACTGGCATCAATAGGGATTTAAATTAATCTCTCAGCTCAGAGTAAACAGAAAACAATAAACACGTTTATTTAGGAAGGAAAACACGCACACAGAGGTAATTCTGTTAAAACTCACCTGCTTTTTTTCCAAATTCTCCCTCCAGCTCAGCCTGTGCCCCTGTCAGAGGCAGATCCACCATCTCCAAGCTTACCACCTCTGCCAGAGACTCCTCTCTACTCCACACAACCTTTCCTGGAGAGAAATCAGAGCAGGATATTGGAAAAATCAACCTAAGATTTGGGAATTGACTATATATGAGTATTTTTCAGTGCAACCCTGAAATGCAGATCACCTCTTAATGAAATGCAAAACAGTATAAATATTGTTAAATTAACTATTTCATGGGACATAAATACTTCATGCAACTGCATCCAGTTTCTGGGAAGGAAACCTCAGGATCAGTAAAAGCAATCTGGTGTTTTAAAAGGGCTACAGTCACTGAGTCTGTTTAAAATAAGAGATTCACAGTCCTGGATTTCTTTAGAGCCCCAGGAAATTCCTGTCACTGAGATGGAACTTTCAACCCCTTCTGTAAATTAATATTTTTGGTATGAGGACCTTTTCTGGAAATCTTTGAGGAAGACCTACACCAGAACTTACACTCTCATCCTACAAAAAGAGTTCTGAAATCTGCAGAAAACCCCCAAAATCCAAAGGCTCTGCCCACACAAAACAGGGCAGAATTGTTTGTGCAGGTGAAAAAGTCTCCTGTGTCTTTCACGGGACTCAGAAGAATTAAATCAATTTTTTCAGCTTCCAAGAAAAGTAATGATAAAGTGCAATCCTTGAGGACACAGGATTCTCCTGGTGACTGTTAGAAAGGGAGGAAGCTGGTTCTGGGAGTCACCTGGCTGCTGGAGGAACATGAGCATGTGGTCCTCTGTCTGCACCAAGGCTCGATAGCCCACGGAGTCATCCTTCTTTAGGAAAACCTGGATGTACAGCTGGGAAAGAAAAAAAAAAAATCAAAAACAAAACCAAAAAAAAGGCAAGGAGAACAGTGAGATTAATGATCACATCATCTCCTCGAAGAAAGCAGAAATCAGGTGAAACCAGAGCAGCAAGCAGGGTGATGCTGTAATCCCTGGAATGCTTTGGAAGGGCTGAAATAACCCTTCCCTGCTCACCTGCTGTGGCTTGGCCCCTCCTTGCTCCAGGCTAAAGGTGATTGTGGTGTCCAGCAACCTTTGCCCAGTTTCCACCAGGTAGAGGTTTATGTTGTAGGTTTGGTTGGAGCAGGTTAAGGAATCCTGTAGCAACAGGCAGAAAACAGGGGTTACACACACACCCCACACCGAATCCTGCAGCAGGATTCCAGCAGAATTCCATCTCCAGCAAAAAGCTGGCGCTTCAAGGTAATTTTTAGGCTGCATTTTTAGGTTGTATAGCTGGTTTAAGATCTCTGCTCCTGCAGGCAAAAGGATAAAACAGACTGACAAGAACTGGGGAAGAAAAGCACCCAGTACCTGCCTCCGGGCATCCTCCAGAGTGCTGCCAGCATGGAGACCATCAGAACTTCCAGGTTTCTGAAGTGAGGATGAGAGGAGATGGAGCATGGGTTCAGACACCAGTAAAGTATAAAAAAAATCAGGTTTTCAACTGCCTGACAAGTCTCAGCTTGCCTGTGACATCAGGCAGGAAATAGCTCTGTTCTGTTTCTGATAAAAATGAAGCTATGTTTGATATCCCCAAGAACTGAAATCCTCTGTGGATCAGGAAAGCCGATTCCTTGTCCACCTTTCACAGGGCTGAAGCAGGATATTCACTGAGCCAGGCACAGCCTGAGCTGGATGTGATCAAACTCTGTGTGTTATCACCAAAATTTATCAAATCCTCCTCTTCCTCCTCTGTGAAACCCCAGTGGAACCCACCCCCAGTGCACAGCCCCAGAGCTGGGCTGCTCCCACAGGACAGGAATTGTGCTGACCAGTTCACTTCTGCAGGTCAGGACAGCGGCCACCGTCTTCTCCCCGGTCGTTGCAAAACTCACCAGAGCTGCCTGGAAAAGGGAAAAAAAAAAATAGCAAAAAATCATTAAAAAAATAACCTCAAGAAAACCCCAAACTCACCAAAAAGCACTTGTGTAGTAAATAAAACCACAGTGGAATTAAAAGCAAGTGAACTGTCACAGCCAGATTTTAAATTGTCTTGTCTCCCCCCAGATCAGACCAATTTCTCACAGAGATGGGAACTGCTGACCAGCCACAGGTTTTTGAGCCACAATGCCCAGAGTTCCTGAGGTTTTTAAAACCTGCCAGCTGGCCCAGCAGCTTGAAGGATGTTCAGCTGCACTTGGCCCTGCCCCTGGTACCTGCTGGAAGTCCCGCAGGTGGCTGAGCAGCCCCTGCTTGTACTGCAGCAGGGAGAAGTGGCTTGGGGACAGCTGCAGGAAGAACTGAGTCCGTGAGGCGCTGGTCACACTGGGCTGAGTGGTCAGGATCCTGGCCTGGAAATCATCTGCAAACTCCAGCTCCAGGGACTGCAGGGGACACGAGAAAATGTGCTGAGACAATTGTCCTTCAGTGAGACCACCAGTGAGACCCCTCCCTCAGCAGCAGTCAGAGATTCCCTGAGTCAGGGCACAGAGCAGGAGCAGGGAAGGCTGAGGCTCCACTGGAGCAAAGCTCAGAAGACATCGACCCAGAAGGAATAACAAAGAGCTTTCCCACTCCTCCCCAGTTTACAGCTCACAACCTCCAATCCCTCCCCAGTTCACCCACAGACTGGAGAACCAGTTCCAACCAGAACCAAAGAGGTTGTCAAGGAACAGCAGGAATGTTCCTGCAGCAGCTCTCACCTGCAGAGGGATGTGCCTCATGTCCTGCTCTGTGTCCAGGGCGCAGACGTGCAGCGAGCGCGCGGCCGTGTCCACGCACACCAGCACGGCCTCGCCCAGCACGCCACAGGAGCCCTGCAGGGCCACCAGCCACGGGGCTGCCACCCTCACCTGCACAGAGACACAGCCAGGGCTCAGCAGGAGCCTCCACAGCACCCACGGGCACACAGCAGACAGTTAACTCAAGTATTTTTAGCCAAAACTGAGAAAAACTACCTGTCAGCCTGAGGGTTATGGGATAAACTTGACTAAAAGCTGCCAGGCTAGCTCAGCTTTCAGCCAAGAAATCCCTGCTTTGGAGGCAATGCCTCAGGGAAAGGGAGGGCTCTCTGTAGCACCACAATCCAGTCCTCTGCCCACCACACCACAGGGCTGGAAGCGCCTCTGCTCACATCAAACCCAGAATTTTGTCTCCTCTACCTGTCTTGTGATTTCTCCATCCTCTACGTTGAAGGTCACGACGTTCAGGTGGCTCTGGGGAACGATGCCAAGCACGTGGATCACCCCAGTCCCACGGGAATACAGCAGCTGGTACTGAGTGTTCTCGCTGCAAGACATGAGGCATCACCTTCTCACACTGCTGTTTGCAGAAGGCAGGCTCAGCTCCCTCCCCTCTGCCCCGTGCCAGGGGCTCACAGCTCTCCTTAGAGGTGTTCTCACCTTTCTGGCAGGTGTTCCACCCACTTCTGGTGCCCGTTGGACAGGTAGTGCAGAGACAGGGCCGTCTTCTTCAGCACTGCCACGTACTTCACCCCCTCGGGGAGCCCCACCAGGGCAGCCCCCTGGAAACTGAGCACAGGCACGAGGAATTCGGGAATTATTTTCCTATTTTACCCTGGGGAATGGGGGCTGGAGCATCAGGAGGGGCTGAGGGAGCTGGGAAGGGGCTCAGCCTGGAGAAAAGGAGGCTCAGGGGGAATTTCTGGCTCTGCACAGTTCCCTGACAGGAGGGGACAGCTCAGGCTCTGCTCCCAGGGAACAGGGACAGGAGGAGAGGGAACGGCCTCAGGCTGGGCCAGGGGAGGCTCAGGGTGCACACCAGCAGGAATTTCCCCACGGAAAAGGTGGTCAGGAATAGGAAGAGGCTGCCCAAGGAGGCTTGGAGTGCCCATCCCTGGAGGTGTCCAAGGAAGGCCTGGACGTGGCACTCACTGGGTGACAAGGAGAGCATTGGCCACAGGTTGGACTGAGGGTCTGGGAGGGCTTTTCCAGCCTCAGTGGCTCAGGCATTCATAAAGAATTCACCCAAAATTCAGCTTGGAAACTTTCAACCTGACTAACCTTTCTGTACAATGCAAGCCCAGACCAAAACCATGACCCATTTTTTTCCCTTCCCAGACCAGCACAAGGAGAAAAAAGCCAGTAAAGACAGGAACTCCCACCTGCCAGTGTCCAGGGAGGTCTCCCAGTTGAGGCCCCCAATGTTGGTCTCCCAGGAACGCAGGATTCGCCCAGCATTGGACACGGTGATGGCATCTGGAGAGGAAAGGGGTGAACACAGAGCTCGTACCCAGCACCAAGGGATGGGTTCTGCAGGTCCAGCCCATGCTCTAATGCTGGCTCCACACTGCAGGAGCCCTGTGAGCCCCGGGATGTGCCCCTTTTACCCTGTCCCACCCTGCAGGAGCCCTGCCAGCCCCAGGACGTGCCCCTTTTACCCTGTCCCACACTGCAGGAGCCCTGCCAGCCCCAGGACGTGTCCCTTACCCTGCCCGTGGATCAGCATAGCATCGATGGCTCCTTCCGCGGTGCCCTTATCCACATGGCGCCACACTGCAACACACAGGCCCAAGGGAGATCGGCGTTCGGCCCCACGAGAGCGTTTCTGTGTTTGACCCAGAGCTCTGACCCGCCCGCCGAGGCCCAAGGGCAGCGTTAACTCTCCCGGAGGAACACACCGCACCGACCCTCCGCCCCAAAGCGCCCCCACT